CATCCCTGGAAACATTCCAGGTCAGGTTGGACGGGGCTCTGAGCAACCTGATCTAGTGTGGAAGATGTTTGCTTATTGCAGGAGGGTTGGACTAGATGACCTTTAGAGGTCCCTTCCCACCCAAACTATTCTATGATTCTAAGATGACCTCCAGAGGTCTCCTTCCAACCTCAACCATTCTGTGACCTCCTAACATCTTCAGAACATTCACACTGAACCAAGAACTGTCATTGCTAATATGATACTTTCTAATCTTGACTCATTTTATGTATCAACTCCCCCACCAAAATTCTTTAGGACTAGTAAACCAAGATTTTCCATACCTCCAGAGGTCTCCTTCCAACCTCAACCATTCTGTGACCTCCTAACATCTTCAGAACATTCACACTGAACCAAGAACTGTCATTGCTAATAAGATACTTTCTAATCTTGACTCATTTTATGTATCAACTCCCCCACCAAAATTCTTTAGGACTAGTAAACCAAGATTTTCCATACCCTTCAAATCCAGCTAGCAAGACAGACAGTAACAGCAAAACATCTGTTTCTTACCTGCTTTGTCTTGCAGAAATTCTGCAGTTGAATCCAGGCCAATGAAGGCTGATGGGTCTAGAGCCTCTGCAGGAGAATACAGGGGCCCCAAGAAAGGTTGTTCAGGTATCATCATAGATCCATGTGGTGCTAATGAAATAAAAGGCCGTTTGTGAATCACCAAGCTAGCCCTAATGACTCCCCTCCAAAATTTAAAGTCTATACAACACTTGGAAAATAAACTATTCTGTTCTGCTCACAAGCAGTTTAGGTAAAGTTTGTAAGCAACACTCTCAATTAGCTCACAGTTTACAAACTGCATTGCAAATTATGTATGCATATGTAATTTTTTAACAAGGTATAAGACAGTAAGCACAGGCAAATTATTTCCCTTTTGCTTTCTGCTTCTGCTCCCATGAATTCTTGTTAATAACCGCTTAAACTCCAATAGTCCAAACATTGAAGACCACTTTGTAGAAAAAGTTCACGCATATTTGGTTTCTAGCCATGAAGACAAGAGCCATTGGTAACTCCTGCTTCAACTCAACTTGTCTAGATGTTCTATCTCCTTCTGCCTAAATATGCTTCAAAAAAACCTTCCTAGAAGTAGCTATCAGAATGGCCTTAGGCACACACACAAAAAATTTTTAAAAATCACGTGAAGAGATTATATAGTCTGCGCACTTAGCAGCTTAATAGTTTTCAGTACATGAAAGTCAACAGAGAAAACACCAAAACCTGACCATCAGGACAAATGCCGAGGAAGAACTCACCATGGATGTCTCTGGAAGCATCAACATGGTCCGTGAACAGCGGCACATTCTTCATGTCAGTAGGAAACGAAAAATCAGGCAGATTCTCCCCCCTGTGCATGCTGAAGGGGTCTGGCAGGAGACAAGAACAAGGCCGGTGTCACCACACAGGGGGGAGGACATGATACCGAGTAAGATTATTTAAAAAACAAGATGAAGATGCACCTGACACCACCATTGGACTTCTGAGGGAAAGCTCCTTTCAAGATTATTTACCAGGGGCAAAGACCTTCATAATTAGAATTTATGCCCAACAGTAAAACATGGTTGCTCATACTGCTTCCTAGGGAAAACTGACTAAAGTTTAGATTACGACTGTTGCATGGAGAACCTGTCTCCTCCTCTCAAGGAGGAAGCATCTGTTTCTGACCTGATGGACACATACAGCTAACCTGAGTCAGGAACATCAGCTGAGCTCCGAATCAGTTAACTTGACAGCAGACCAAGGAAAGCCTGTGTAAGCTACATGCTCTCCCCCCCAAGAACAGTACACCAGTATAAACTGGCTGATGGGCCAGTATTTTAATCAAGTTACAAGCCAGAGAGGAAAATAACACATTTCCCAGTATCCCAGGCAGATGAGCAGCCTTCGCCCTTAGTTCCAGACCAGATGCACTGGTGAGGCTGTCAGGATCTTTAGTCCACATTTGCAAGTTGTCTGGTGTCAGCTTTGGTTGGTCTAACGTGTTAGCTTTGTTCTGCTTTTGGTCCGTGTTTTAAGTGGATATATCAATGTCATCTGCAACAGATGGTACTCCAGCAGCTCAGGATTCAGCAGGAGAAAATTCCTTTTCCGCAAGTTTTATTTTTTGTGTGCATGCATCTCCTTTCCCCCCAGGTAATCAGCATGGGCATTCAAACCAGACAGGACAGAGAGAACCACCATGCTGGGTTTTGTAAGATGGATTACTTAACTGAAGTGCCGTGAGTCAGAGAGTAAACAGATGACCTCACTGACAGAATAAAACGAAGAAAAGATGACCCTTCCATGAGTTAGTCACTGTACCATAATACAGTCAAGGCAAGACACTGCAAGGGGAAGGAAATGTGGCATTCCTCTCTCAAACAAATTATTCTGTCATTTACAAACTCCTGGATGTGTTTTATGATCGATGATTCCTAACACATCTCGCTGGCTTGTGCCAGATGTACATTGCATTTCTCTCCAGACAGGCACAGCTGAGCAACGAGAGGTTTTGACTCAAACGGCCTCTTGCAGACAAGTGACGTTTCTCATGACTATCTTGCACGTTGCATTACCCTGGAGCTGAAGAACTCCCTGTTCCCAAAATGGCTGTCACACACCGATTTTCAGACAATGCACAGATTTCTTCTGCTTAAGCACAATTAAAAGGGATTCAGTTGAAGGCTGTTATTCATTTTTATGTCAGGCATACTATCTGCGGGGACGACAGCAAAACTTCAAATGTTCGCATGCCCATGGTGCTCCAAGATGTCAAGATCAGGTGAGCTGCATTAATTCTTTTATAAAACTATCAGACTATGTGAGATGCCAAGACAATGTCTCGCTTCAGAGTAAATTGTGGAAAATTTTAATTTCAAGCTGTTTAAAACAGTATTACCAAGACTAAATAACTGCCTTTTTTCCAGTTAAAAAAACAAACAAGCAAAAAACCCCAACCCACTAAAAAGCATCATGACTGAAACCAATTTAATAACTAAGAGATGCTGATGATCTCCCCTCTTTGTCCAGCAGTTAGATGATGTGGCAAAAATGGATGACCCAGATTAAACCCTGTCTCTGCTCCAGAGGGAGAAAGGGGAGAAGTGGAAGGAGTTATGGTTGAACTTTTGTTTCCCATCCCCAAAGATCCTCCACAGACTCAAAGTGGGCCTGCGTCCTGCTCAAGTTTTAGCATTTTTGTGACTGGTAAGCGATGCCGCTCTGCTGATGATAAGGTGACGCCTCCAGCAAAACACATTGCAGCTGAAAATTGAAAGGCAGGTGGGTAAGGATGAACTGTATGGATGGGATACAGCCAGTTCAGCAAATTATCAGTTCTTGCATTAAATGAGCCCTGAAAATAATTCTCTACTTGCTCAAAATTTGCAGCTTGTTTAGAATATTATGAAGCCAGACAAATGTTAAGAATCTAAGAGTATTGTTTCTCGACAGCTGGAGGTAAGATCGACAAAACATTTTTGAAAGTTTCTTTTCAGCTCACTTCCATAGATAGTCGTATCCTTTGCTGTTCAGAGACATAGTTTCAATTTGCCAGTGACTGTGGACTAATAAAAGCATATTACTGTAGATCATTTAAATAGGAACTCTTCGTGTTTAGATATTTACCTGTAGTTACAGCAACAAATCATGATACACTTGTGATTAAGGGCCTTGCAACACTTTCAAAGCTTGCAAGCAATTAGATAATGTTTGAGTTTTATTCATTCTATATTACAATAACATTTTTAAAACAAGTCTTTTTATTACAGGTAGTGTGTAAAATATATATGTACGTTTTTGCTCATAGCTGTTACTTTCGTAGGGTTGGGTTCCACTGCCAGATCCCAACGCAGTGTTTGTAATATATAACAGCAAAGTCCAGAGCAGATTCAAACGCACTCTTTCAGCTGCTCACAGAAGTGGGAGAGCTGGCATTTCCCATGTTTCTCACCAAGGAACAAGGAATTACAGCAACGCTGGTCGGAAGACCTGTTACACCACTGACCAGAGAATTCTCTCTTTGGGAGGGAAATCATCCTACTGTTTTCCAAAGAGTGTGCATAAAAATATTTAATAAACCCATAGACTTTTATGAGACTGCTGTTCACATTTTTCTCCTTCTGCTGACAAGTCCTTAAAGCTTGTCTATCCTCTCTGATCCCTCTGCTCAGTTATGGGAATCGACTAACCTCTAAGCAGAATCTCTTGTTTATACAGCACCAGGAAGAGCAGTACGGAGGAATACTTTCATACTGAAGTATACGTGGTACCTTATGCACGTACAGCTGTGCAAGATACTCTAAGGACATGAAACCTAAGGAAATCTGGTTCCATGCAACAGATAACCCACAGATTCACATTATTCAGGCCAAAAGAATACTGGATGATGGGCTAGGTATGTAAATCGCTCTTAATCAACAAGTTTGTCATCTGGCTATTGAGCATAACTACATCAACATCCCATTCTTTCATCTAACAAAGCAATGGGAGGGAAAAACCCAACAACCGTGTTTTAGAAACTAGTGGCTCTCTTGCTCCAGCTGTTCCATGAATCATTTCTTACCCTTATAACAATATATAATTTCTTCACAGAATCACTTAGTAAATATGAGATTCAGATAACAAGAAAATAACTTAGTAAGCAGGTCTACAGTGCTTAAAAAAGCTGTTCCAGAATCATTTCTTACCCTTATAACAATATATAATTTCTTCACAGAATCTCTTAGTATATGAGATTCAGATAACAAGAAAATAACTTAGTAAGCAGGTCTACAGTGCTTAAAAAGAAATTTAAAAAAATTATCCTGTTTCAGCCAGTATCTTTCCCAGCAGTATTGCCTGTTATAATCTGGGCAGCACAAACATTTCTCATACCCTCCAAAAGCTAGCAAGTAATTTCTCAATTATAGAGTAATTTCTCAATTTTTTTTATATATATATATATAAAAAAATAAAATAAGCTTTCTCAAAAATGAGAAAAAACTGGGTGAAAGTTGTTGGGTGAAAGGGTATCTTTCTGCAGGGGCAAGTTATACAAGGTTCATCTAATTTTCAAGAGAGTCAGCAGCTACACAGGCTGCCTCTGGAACAGACTGACCTGCATTGCAGACACAGCTACGTGACAGCTGGAACTGGCATTTCTGAGAGCCAGGGAAGGCTGGCTTTCAGCTGTCAACAATTTTGGCAAGGTTTGCACTGAAAGCCACAGTACTCGAGAGCAGTTAAACTGTGAGAGTCAACCAAAAACTGCTACCGCCATGTGAGCCAAGTCAGGGGGAAATCTGCTCACCCACACTCTGTGTCCTCTAACACGCCGGACTAGCAACTCCATTTTTAACCAGCTAGACTATGCTCTAGGGCAAGTTAGGGGCTTGATGTGCTAAGTTAACTCTGGTGTCAAGATGTTACGTGTTTTAGGAAAACAGAGCAACACATCCTAAAGAACACCGGCATGAGTACAAGGCAAGAGAACAAAACCACCCTTAGGGATAGAGGCTAGGACTCTATCATGTTACACAACTGATAAAATAACTGATGGTACAGTTTAAAGAGTAATACAGTCATACCAGCCATCTCCATGGGTTTGAATACTGGCTGTGACTCAAAGCACAGGTCTCTGTCATCCATTGTCCAGGAGTCATTATGATCGAGAAATTCTTTGTAAGACAGCTTTTCATCCATGATTTCTCCTGGGAATACTGAAATTAGAGAAGAAAATGATACAGTCAAACGTGAAACATTATGCAATAATCTATTTTAAATATTTTAGCTTGATATGACATTCAGAGGTGTCGTGGTTTAACCCCAGCCGGCAATTAAGCACTGCACAGCCAGTCGCTCACTCCCCCCTGGTGGGATGGGGGAGGGTATCGGAAGGGTAAAAGTGAGAAAACTCATGGGTTGAGGTAAGAACACTTTAATAATTGAAATAAAATAAAATAGTAGTAATAATAGTAGTAGTAATAACAACAACAACAACAATAATAATAGAA